CTTGTTGATTTTCATGTACCTTAGCATGCCTTCCAGGAGAATCTGCTCCAAGATTTTGCCAGGCACAGAGTTGAGACTGACTGGTCTGTAATTCCCCGGGTCATCCATTTTCCCCTTCTTGAAAATGAGGGTTATATTTCCCTTTTTCCAGTCATCGGGAACTTCACCTGACAGCCATGATTTTTCAAATATGATGGACAGCAGCTTAGCAACTTCATTTGCCAGCTCCTTCAGGACCCGCGGATGGATTTCATCATTTCAGATGCCCTCGGTTAACTTCCATGTGTACTGATGGCTGTGGCTGGGAGCCAGGGCCAACAGACACCGAGCACTCCTGTGCTGGGGTTGCTTCTTGATTTCTTCCCTCATAGACAATAAGGCGGAGTCCATCAGTGGTGAAAATTAGTAAAGGCAAGGATCCTTACTCATATTTAATAGCAGAAATGCAGGGTATTCTGCTGATGGAAAAACTAAGGCGAATGAGCTGATCTTGCCTTCATGCTAGGAGGAGAAACAGGCTGCCTGCAAGGCTGCAGATGGCCAGTACTGGCTGGCTCTCATGCCTTGCTTTGGTATTGCTTGCCTGGTGCCTTTCTCTGTGTCTGGTGATTTCAGTGTGGTGCAGAGTCTTAGCAACTGCAGGTTTTTGCTCTGATGCATTAATATTTATACAACTCCCTTTACCAACATATTGCTTTTCTGGGAAAACGTGTTTATATTTTATATCAGAGCAACACATTGTTATTATTTGCCACTTTTTTACATGGGAAATTTTGAAAGTGAAACATCCTCCCATCTGAGAAAATGAACTTCACTGTGTGCACTAATAACTTCATAGGCTATTAAAACAGGTACAAAGATTGCTTTTTAGTTTTGGAATTGTAAATTGGGCTTGGCATTTTTCAATCTGTCACTCAAACCAGACAGCAAAAATGTCACTTAATTTAACCATGGCTATGATATATGACCTGATAGTTGTTTTCTCTTTTAACTGCCATTCACTATAATGTCTTAGGTGTTGTGGGGAATTAATCCAAACTGTTTACTTTAGATGATAAAAACCAACCCAACAAACCTGACCCCAAAAGCCAGTTATTCTACATAGTTTGAGACTGTGGAAAAACATCAATTCCAAAACACTGATTAATGTATTTTTGACAAATTGCTATTGAATTCTTCTCTAAATCCATACATCATTCTATTTTAAACATGAAGTCAGCTTGCATGTAATTATTTTAATTGCTGCTGTATATGGTGAGGCTTGTATTATCCCGTAGAGCTGTTCACTGGTTTCAGGTATAGAGCTAGTAAGTCACAACAGGTTTCTGGGTTTTAATTGGTATTGCAGGCTAATGCAGCAGTTACTTAAATGCTTCTAGGTTTCCTTTAAGTGTTGCAGTGTGTGATTCAGCAGACCTGTGTGCTGAAGGAAGGGAGCATGCAATGCACCTGTCCGTAATTTGTGCTGCACCTGTATGGGTTTCCATAGCTTTAGGCATAGTAAGCCAGTTGAAGGGATTGAAACTAGTTAGGTGTTTAATTTTATCACATTCAGACACTATTTCCACTTTTCTCCCAGAGGTTTTCCAACATTTGCTGATATTTTTTTGGTTTTCCTGCCCTGGGCTGATGATTGGAGTACCAGATCCCTGTCTAGATGATCTTTGGGATGAAATGTATTTTAAAAATAGGGACCTCTGTGAATATGGTTTAAAAGTGACCATTTTTCAAGCATCTGTTCAATAAAAGTGGACAGATGCAGTCTCTTTGACCCAGTTGTGTTGCTTCGTTGGAGGGAGAAGGGAAAAACAGCTCATGATGTTTCTTTTCCTTTCAGAAATAGAGACTTGCTGTGGGTTTTGTATAGCCCCTTGCCAATATCAGGAGGCAGGCAGGACAGCTGGCAATGGGAGCACTTCTTCTGGTAGGCTGTGGCTCAATTTCAAGCTATATGGGAAGAAAAGTCATGGGCAACACCATGAAAGATACAAGAGTAGTGGTCAGTACTCCAGGTGAAATAGCCCTCCTCTCATCCCCTGAGCTTAAGTATAAAAAGATCTCATGCTTCAGGTAACCAAAGGGGAGCACCCCCCTTTCTGTTCTGAAAAAGGGGAAGACCCACTGCACAACCCAACCTTAGTAATTGCTTCCTCCTTCCCATGAAGCGTGTGATACCCTACTAGCAGCAGGCACCAGTTCTCATCCTGATTATGTTCTGCTGTGGCTTCTTCCTTGTCCTGTGGCACTACAACTGGTTTCCATAAGCTTCAGTAAATTTGCAAAGTTAATTTTGGGGAAGTTATAGAAGACCTTTGGACTGACTCTTTCTCAACCAGCTTGCCAGGATTTTTCTTCTTCAAAGTAGAACGAAACTTACTTAGTGTGTATTCAGGCACAGCAAGAAATGCAGCTTTTGCCATCAGCTTCTGTTCTTCCAGTGGCTCCGGAGCAGTCATTTCTGAAGCCTGGTGTATTTCAGTGGCAGTTTTGAGTTTTTCAGTTTACTCCAGGGCAAACACAGCAAAAATGTAGCTGGTTTGGTTATTTTAAGTTTTAGCTCACAATACTTGGAATGCTTTTGAGCAGGCTGCTGCCCTAATCTACAAAAAAATAAGCTTTCCTCACCTAATCCTTATTTGTCTTGCATAGCTGTATCAAAATAATTGTTTTGACAATTTGGCTATTAACTCTTTCTCTATGAGATTCATAGTTTCTTCTCAAAACACAGTTGGAATGCCTCTTGCCAGCCTCAGCTGAATCAATGCTTCCCACACTGTAATGGCAGTATATTAATCACCCACCACTTACAGGCTACTGTTATCTGCAAGAGGGTTTTGAAATTCTCTGCAAGAGGTGCTTGGTTTCATTAGCTTTTTAATTTTCTTGCTAAACAACGACAAGCTCTCTGTTGCGGCTGTGTGTTGCATGCTGCTTCTAGGCCAGAGAAACTCCACGGTGGTGAAGTGGAAGAAGGGAGCAATTTGTGTCATAGATGCTGATTGATTGCGGGTCCCTTTGGGCATCTTTGTAATGGGCTCTCAAAAGAAAGACTTACTGTATTGGCTGGAAAACTGGTGGAACCGTTGTGTATTCAGCAGCGTGCAGCAGTTGCAACTATGGACAACACAGGCAGTCTTAGATAGAAAAGCATTGAGGGCAGAGTTAGGCGGTCCTGATCCATGACCTTGCCCCAAAAGGGGCTTTGATTTTCATATATGGGTTTAGTGGGGCTGAAGAAGAGACATTCCTGTCTTGTGCTTGCTGAGGCTTTTGATTTTTATGTTAAATTTCCTGTGTCCTCAAAGTGAGGAGAAGGTTCTAACATATTTAAATAGCCTGCATATACTGGGGGGGTGGCACAAAGCAGGGATAGCTGGCCTTTGTGCCAGGGATTCAGTCCTGCTCTCAAGACTAGAGCAGAAATAGTTTGTTTTGCTTGATAACTTGTCAAGTGCAGTGACTGGGCGTTGTCTGGCTGCATGTACCTGAATCTCAGTTCTCATACCAGTAGACACCCACCTCTACAGATCTACCTAAATTGGCTGTAGCAATTGCAATTTTCAACATTTTGGTCTATAATTAGTAGGCCTCTCCAGTCTTTTATTCCTGTTGTTTCAGGATCACTAAAACTGTTCCTTGTTGGCCAAAGCAGTATTCAGAGGCTTGGGCTTTTCTGACAAACCCCAAGCATTTGCACGGTGCTCTAGCAGGGGCCAGCCTGATTACAAGTCTTCGAAATCCAAGGTCGTGTCTAAACCATTGAGCTTTGCACATTTTGGTGTCCCCACATCTACATGCCCACCATCTGGAACAGGATATCAGTCTATGCTGTGTCTGTCTCCCTGGTCACATACCTGGGTGTGTGTCCATTTCTGCCCAAAGCAAACCCTGGTACTGGGGGCTGATGCACGTAGAGTCCTGTCCTAGCCAGTAGGTTGATGCTTGCTCAGGCTGGGACAATGGAACATGCTCCCTTTATGAGGTTGAAGCTGTTTATGTTTGCTTGCATGGCTGCTTCTGTAATTTATTAGCTTTTTGGAGGGCACAGCTACATGATGTAAGGGTTGTTGCCTCTGCTGAGGCCAGCATAGTTAGGTCAATCTGACACAGTGCAGTACCAATCACCAGCTGAAGTTTTAAATAATTGTGGTTCTGAGGCACTGCTTCCAGAATGGATCATCTGTCTTGAGCAGTGGATCTGTGGGGGTATATCTGCAATGGAGTTGCAGCGGAATGGCACATCTGGGCAGGGTGCTCCAGCTGCAGGGCAGTCTGTCTGTTCTGGGCCTGGCCTGTGCCTGTATCCTTTCTTTGTCCCTTTCCCTGCTTGGTTTGCAGAGCTATTTCCTGGAGCCAGCCTGGATTTCTTTGTGCTTGTGATGAAGATAAGCCATGGGACAGCTTGGAAGTTCCTTGGCAAGGATTTCAAACAGAGAACAACTGATGCAAGTCACTCTGTGTGTGTAGCTCTGGGAAGTGTTCTGCATACCAAGATGTCAGGGGTAGAACAAGACTGTAAATAAGATGATAAATGGCTTTAAGGTGCTGTGTTCATTCTCCCTGACACTTATACGTGTATCTTTGCATCAAAACTAAATAATCTATCAAGCACGTGGAATGTGCTGTGGTGCAGTTCACACACTCTTGAGGTCAGATGAGAAACGAAGAGCAGAGTAGAAGTGACTAAAATTGAGATGCTCCCTCCATAACATCACCTCCTGCTAACTCTGCTCACCTGGCAGGTGTATCAGTCCCAGTGGTGCAGCTGCTTAGTATGCATTTTGGGTCACTTTTGAGGCCATGATTCAGAAGCTGCCGAAGTGCTTCCTAGGCAGGGAATTGAATCGAACAAGTGCTTTCCTGAATTTAAATCAGGTTCATTAGTGCAAATTTTATTGTTTGCATTCTAGTTTGAAGCCACCCTTTTCCATTAGTGTTTGGTTTTACATTTTCCCTATGTTTGCAATATTAACCATCCCTTTCTTTTTCTTCTTTTCCAGGAAAAGAGGAGTAGAAGTAGTACAGGTGAGTAAAAAATGTATTTTATCCTCCCCCCCACTTCTCCCATTTTCTTGTAAAGAATGTTTACTGATTTAAAATGCAGTCAATTAGATGTCAGCATGACCAGGGCTTAATTATTTTTTCTTTCTTTTCCATTCAATTCACTGCTTCGGATACTGGTTTTTGAAAAAGAGGATCCCCCTTTTGTGAAGCGTCTGTTGAGCCCATCTAGTTTCAGCAAGTGCCCTGGTTAAAGTGGGAGTGCAGTTACGCTTTTCTTGTGTCCGTTGTTTAATAAGATCTGATAGTTGGTTAGGTGATGTTACTTAGTGTTCATTGCATGCATGGACAGTCAGGCTTAACAGAAACAGGAGCTGGTCTTTGAATAAAACTAAAGCAGAAGGAGTGTTCTTGTAACACAGCAAGAAGGGAAATGATACTAAAGTGCCTTTGAGTTGTAGCCTATCTACAGATAAGTTCAGGTGTTGGCTACATTTGTTCTTTCCCAGGTCTGAATGGTCGTATTTCAGGCAAGATGTTAATTAAAGGATGATGGCAACTTGGAAAAGGATTACAAGGACAGCTGTAACATAGAGCACTCTAGCCCTAAAAGATCAAAGGGGAAGCATGCTCTTTCCTTCTGGCTTATTCTGTGTACTTAGAAAAGCTGTGTGTCATAGGTTTCACTCTTGCTTATGCTTATCTAGTGATTGTTTCGACTCTAAAGTGATCAGTGTATTCTCCACACTTGTTTTCTCATGTCTCAGTAGCAGAGATGAAACTGCCTCAACAGAGAGGACGGAGGAGAGAGGAGGAAAATGGGGTGTTACCCACTAATAGTTGAGGCTGCCCTTAAGTCTGCGTGAAAGGTGCTTCTCAACACCAGCAGGGTGTAGGAAAAAAGCACTTAAAAAAAATAAACAGAAAAATCAGATCATGTTATTTTAAAGAATCCACAATCAGAAGACTTTTTAAAAAAATCCCATCGCTAGCTAAACTGGATAATAGTCTTTCAGGTATTTGTAGTTGAGAGCTGCATGGTATTGCAAGGAGAAAGGGCATGTCCTTTCCTGGCTGCATTTAGCCTTTCACCGCTACAAGATCATCTTCCTTACTTGTACCTCCTATTGCTCAGACCTGTGCAGCAGCTTCTTTCATGAATTGTGATTGCATCTCCGTATTAATAAATACAAACCAGCATTTGTGAAGGACAGCTTCAGAAGCAGCACAGGAAGAAAGCTAGTCTGTATTTGTGTCGCTGTCTAGGGGACACTGTTGTTTTAATAGTACCCTAGTGTATTACAATCTGACGTCTGCGTTTATTATGTGCATCATGCCTGCATGCTTAAGCAGCAAGGTGCTTGTATGAGATGAATTCAATGATGCACTGATCAGCTGAGCAGAGGGCAAATTCCATTTCTGTCCTTCTATGGGTTACCTGTTAATCTTCTGATGTTTGTGTAGCTTAATGGCTGGTAGTCAGATTGACAGAAACTGATTGGAAGAGATTTCTTTAGTGGAAGAGCATTTTGGGAAACATTTGAACAGAATTAGATATGACTTGGTATAAAAGTAGTTCATGGTCTCAAATTTTACAGTGTAGTTGAGATGTTAGACTAACCTATACCGGGAATTTGTGCCCCAGAGGCACACCTCAGAAGCACTGATGCCTGCTGCAGGATGGCTGGCTGCGTACAATCATCCCTCACCTGTCATTTGCTTCATGTGTCCTGAAGCATGTACTAGTGGCTATTAGGGGATGTGTCAGATATGTGCCCTTTCTTCATCCAGTCATTACTAGAGGCTTTGCTTGAGTCGCCTTACATGATCCATCCCAGTAGCCCTTCTTCTATATGGAGGATGTCTTGGTGTTGATCTGCTGGAGGAAGTTTATTTGACAGGGAATATAATTTTCCTGTGTTAAGCAGCAGCATTTCTTTGTTTCTCCTCCTCCTCCTTTACGGAAATCATCCTGTTCAAGAGAAACCAGCCCTTATGCCTGACAATAGACAAATAACTCAAAACACAAAAATACACAGGCTGTTAATCTGTTTTCTTCTTTGCATAAATATAAAGTTTTTCTGAATGTAATTGTGCTTTCTGTAGTGAGTCAAAAGCTATAGTTCAGTTACTGGCTTCTGGATAGCAAAGCAAGATGGACTGGCATGTGCTGACTTCTGTGAACAGACTCTAGATTATTCTTTTCCAAAGACGTTTCATAGGAGCAGGAAAGGATTTCCTCCTACTAGAAGGAAGTCTTCAAATAAGCATTTGTATGACTTCTGTTTCCTTCTTGCAGGGAGGAATTATTTTTCTTTACCTAGACTGATTAAATCCTCTTATTTTGCTTTCTTAAGGCTAATTGTGCTGTACAGATTATCAGTGTGCTGCTGTTAGACAGCAATTAACATTCTGTGACTTGTGTTCAAGCTCTGTGTTTTGTCTTGTCTCAGGCTTTCTTTCTGTTCCAGCAGCAAAAGTGGTTCCAGCTTTCTATTTTTCTTGAGTGGGGCAACATACACATTCTCCAAAGAGAAATAATGGAAGAATAGGACCGGCAGTGGGATGCTAAGTAGGCATGCCCCTTTATCCAACAGTAAGACATTATTCAAGCATCACACTGAAAACAAAGAACCTCTCAACATGTGTGGTGATAAATAATTGGTTTTGGTTGCTTTGGGTTTTTGTTTTGTTTTGTTTTTTTTTTTTTGTACAAATACTGTTTGAATTCGAACATAATGAGAATTCACTGTGAACTCAATGCACAGGAGCTGAAATGTGTGACATTATATAATACAATTGAGTAACATCCATCAAGCTATCTGGCTTAAAAGATAGTACAGTAGGTGAACTAAATAAAAAGCTTTCAAGGTTATGAACTTTCCAAAGACGGTATGAGTCTGCACACAAACATTTGGGAGCATGAATGGCTTAGCTCATTTCTGTTTTTCCCGTGGGCAGCGTCAGAACTCTTGAGTAGCGGCATCTTTCAGATGTGGCAATGTTTTGGATCTAGATTTGCTTTCTGCAGCTTAAATCCAAGTCAGTGGGGCAGCTAAAAAACAGTCTTACATTGCAAGGAAAAAAACCCCAAATGTCTTCCTGGCTTTTAAATACAGGTTCTTAACAGAATATTGTGCTACATCTCTTACCTTGTGGCAGTTCATTTGCTTCATTTTTTTAAAGTAGGCATCACCCCAGTGTCAGGGTGCTTTTTGTTTGTGCCCCTTGAGGTAAGGAAGCACTCTTGTTCCAGTTTTGCAAGAGGGCAGACTGAAGGATGAGCCCTGGCTCCTGTAGGGAACCTGCAGCAGTACCAGCCCCGGCACTGCCAGGAGCTGTGCTGGCAAACCTGGGTGGCAGGAGCACAAGCTGCAGCTTTCTCAGAAGGGTCAGGACTTCCCTGTGCTATTGTGTGGGACACAAAAGAAAGGGAAGAGCAATTGAAGGTGTTGAGCAGACCTGGTGTTGCTGGCTTTCTTCCAGAAAAAAGCACCAATTCAGCTGCATTTAATCTTAAGGCTGCATTTAATGTATTCTTGTATTCTTAAATCCTTAAAGTATTCTGCTCTTGCCATTCCTGTGGCAATTACATACCTCTCCTTTCTTGCCAGTTCTTCCCACCCCTCACAGCTACCTGCTCAGCTATCTGGAGCAGCTTCATCTGGTGGCCAGAGGAGGAATGGAGATGCTCTGAACAGGTGACAGACATGACCAAAGCCCATCTGCCATGGTCTGTGGGCAGTTACTGGGCAGATGGAGGCTGAGGCAGAGCAGCTCTTGCACTGGCATTGGGGTGACTTGCCAGTAAATGCTTAAGATGAAGTATTTCTTAATAATTTCTTTCATCACTGTTTCAAGGCAACGGCTGCCGCTGAAATTATGCAGTGGTTGTCTGATGAGGCATTTGCTATTAAAAAAGACCCTATTTCCTATCATGGAACTTAGCAAACAGGGGCTTTGGGCAGTTTCTAAAAGGTAAAGCTGTTTCTGATCTTTTTTATTAACAGCTTGGTTTTGTTCAATTTTACCCGTCCATTCCCCAGATCAGTGTAGGGCCAAATTGGAAGTGAAAATTGCCAATTTTTCTTTACCCAGTAACATTTCCAGTTTCTTATGACTTTGTATGCTGGCAAGGGAAAGGGAGAACATCTCCATCTACCTTGTTTTTCAGGAAAAATTTGTTTGGCTTAGTTTGAAGAATGTAAGATTGAAAGCATGTGCAGTGAAGTGGAAATCATCACAAGTACCTCTGATGGGGACATGCATTTATTTTTGTTTCACAAGCTATGCAAATCCAGAATAATTAACTGCAGCCCTTTGGCTTCTGACAGAGTGCCAGTTTGGTCTTTGTGTGACAGAGTTTGGAGCCTTCGTATTTCTCGTGACTTCAAAGCCATTTCCATCACCTCCACACCCAAGCCTTCCTAGAGCACTTGCTCCCATTTTTTTCTAGTTTGAAAATTCCCCATTTTTGGTGGGTATTTTTGGTTCAAATTAACACTAATGCTCTTTTATATTAGAAAGACGTTCTAGTCAGTTGGCTATAAAAGTGGGATTAGTCATTGTATTTCAAGCTGCACATTTTTTAATAGCAGTGGGATATGAAGGACAACATGTTTTCCGATGCGAAACAGCTGATTGTAGTAGTTACAATGGTGTCAGCTGCTGTTTTCTTTTTCCTTTCCCCCCCCCCCCCCTCCCCTTTTCTGGGTATTGAGATAGTGAAATCTTTTACTTTGGAGTACAAAACTGTCCTTTGAGCTATGGGGTGTAGTGAAGCCTGTGAAGGAGAATCAAGGGTCCCCTCCTCCCTTTTTTAATTCTTCAGTCAAAGTAAAATACTGGTGACAACAGTTTCCAGTAATCATTGCCAGGGAAATGTTGTTTTCTTGAAATGTGGAGAGGTTTATTTTCACATGAAGTATTAATGGAATAAGCTTGGGACAGCAGTGTTCTAGCCGAGAAATGGAGCTTATAAAATATATATCTGATAGCATATACAGAAAGATGTGACTGGAAAG